TTCTACTCTGAACAGTTCTGCATGTTTGAATTAATTGGCTCAGTTAAGTTATGAATCATGACTTGGTGAAAATACATTAGTTGTAGTACTTTTCTTAAGCTTTCCAAAAGTTAAATATCATGATTTTTTGGTTAAGTAGATCTTGAGTTATACTTGCTTAAATATCAGTGGCTGTTCCTGCCCAAACTCTGACAGGGTTACCTTGTTGGTATTGTGGGGCCTTCTTAATAGTAGAATTTGCATTAGGTGTTTACAACAAAGTTGTTTATAATTTGATAAGCTTTCTAAAAGTCTAGAACCACATTTATTGGATATGTATAACTCCATTTATAGCTGTTTAAAGTGGCATGTCAGTTTATGTCTATGTTTTGGACAGAGATGCAATTATTGGATTAATTGACCCTTCTAACTGTAGAATCATCTTAAGATGATAATAAGAAAGTTGTAGATAACTCACCTAACTAGCTTGTGTTAAATTTTCATGGCATGTGGCTAAGTAGTTTGTGAGTTATGACTGTTCTAAGTTGGTCTTCAGAAATTATAGCTTTCTGGAATTTGCTGGACCAGCTTTGATAAATGTGCCTATTTAACCTGGTTAACTTTGGAATCATGCTGATAGGTTTAAATATGAATTGTAGACAATTTCATAAGATTTCCATAATGTCTTCTTGCAAGTCATTTGGATTTGTGTAACTTCAGTTATAGCTAAATCTTGTAGCTGCTGTTTGCATGTCCAGAAATTGGCAGATTCCAATTATAGTGTTTGCTTGTATATTGTTAAGTGTGACTTATGCCTTGAGTGATGACTGAGTTAGAGCACATGAGATCTAGGGAAAACTTGTGTCATGCTTGGTGTTGTTGTCTTCTTTGCCATCTTAGCATGATAGATTGTGTGATGGTTAAGTTAAGCATCGCAAAGTACTTAAGTGTGAGTGTAAACTATGCTTGTCCTTGCTTGCTATTTTGTGATGCATCTCATGGTACTATTCTTCATATTCATACACTTGCATATTGCATCTCATCTAGGTGCGCTAGATGAACCACGTGAAGAATATGATGTTGGAGCCAAACCCGAAGACGGTATATGGAGGATCTATCCCGAAGATGGAAGGACTAAGCAAGTGTTAGGACCTGTGATGTCACCAGGACGGTGCAAGCTAACTGAACTGACTTGTGGTGGATCCCAGGCAAGCCCCGGAGCATTATAAGTCTCCTAATTTATAAAAGCAATTCTTTCTATATATGAGTTATATATTATTGCATTAAGTTGTAGGAGTTGATCGAAACCGTTGATGCATTTATTACTATCCTTGCCTATCTTATTACCCTTTTACCTGTTAGGTCGGGATCGAATAACCGCTTAGCCTTGCTTAGACCGGTAGCGATCGGTGATGTCCGTCACCTACATTTATAGGTGGTTACTTTGGAAGAATTTAGCTATGGAAAGAATGATATCCTGGAATTAACCATGTGTGATGGATAATTGGAGACCGGACGGAAAAGTTTGGAGGCAACCAGGATGGGGTTACGGGGTCTTTGTTAGTTTCCGTCTGTGTCAATTAAGGACCGTTCGTTGTTGGGCCTCGAGTCATGTTGAACGCATGCCTTACATTTAGCTGGCCGGATAAAGTACCTTCCGACCGCTGGTCGGGAGATTTTTCGGGCGAGTAGATTGCCCGCAGCCAGACTTGCACTGGGAGCAGTGTGGTAGGACACGGGCGGGATGATAAGACCAAAGTGCGATCGGTCGGCCCCGGTACATGTGGTTCTGGCAAACTCGAGATACCGGAAAGTTGACTCGGTGATCAATATCTCACTTTAGCGGGTGAGTGAGGTTTGTGTAGGAATAAATCACCAATGGTTAGGAATCGATTCGAATCGCCATCGCTCTGGATAGTGAGCACTTGACTCGAAAGTTATCGCATCGTAGTAATTATTATGGAACAATGATGGTTATCTGGATGGTATGGGATATGCTAAATCTAAATTGGTAACTGGATGTTATTGGTTAATCAAGTGATTGCTATAGTACAGTGCTTACCTAGATGGATAGGTCATAATAAAGATGATGCAAAGTATTTAAAATGGTTTCTTCATGATAGCTTATGCTTTTACGCAAACAAAGTCAGCTAGCCCACTAAAGAAAGCCTTGCATGATCCTTGGTGTCATTTGTTTTGGTTTCCGACCAGGGTAAGTCTGGTTGAGTACATTCGAGTACTGGGGTTTATCCCACCTTGTTGCGGTGTGAGTTCTCGACACATTGATGATGGTGGCTAACCACCGGTGGGCTCGGTGATTCTATACTTACTTCTCATCTATATGCTTTTGTCCGGATGATGTCACTAAGCTAGCAATATATTTGGAACTTATATTAATGTAATCATTTGAAAGCTATGTTGTTTTCACTAAGCGGTTTTGAAACCCAAACTTGTACTATTATTTGTTAACCCCTTTGTAATATTATTTCCGCTGCAACCCGATGTATGTGATGTGTATTTGCTTAATCACGCGATCTTGGTTGTGATGTTGATTTACCGAGGTCTTTCGGGACACTCGGCGGACTACCGGGTTTATATGAGTGAAAGTATGGGTGTGTCAACGTGTTAGCGGGGACAACCGTACTTGATCTTGTATAAATTGGGCGGTTCTGTCACACGACAACTCGTGCTCCCGCGCTCATCCGCCACCATCTTCTTTCTTCCCGCAGTCCTTCATGTCGCCGACCGTCCCCTTTCCTACACTCTACCTCTGTCCCTTCCTCGCGCAGCGGTGGGGCATGCAAAGACCTCGGTGACCCGGGAGGCCGGGACTCATCGGAGGAGGTGGCGACCTCGAGCTCAAGGAGCCCGTGGTCAATGGTGGAGAAGGCGAAAGTGCGGCGGCAAGAGTCCCCCGAGGACGCGATATTTGGGATCCAGATTGTAAACTAGCCGTGGGAGAAATCTGGCTTTTGATTGTGGGGATAAGTTGTTCCAAACAGGACCATAGCTACTTCGTCAACTAACAATTCAAAGTTGGTAGATTTGTCTCAGAGTCACATTCGCATCCACAGGTCTCTTAATTTCACCCCACGTCTATGTTTGGGGCTCAACTAATTTTCTTGGCCTATAACTGGACCCTGGAGCCTTAATCCAAGTGCTAAACGACAAAAATAGCTCCCTTGATTTAACTAGAGCCTTTATGCGCTCAAGCGGTGAACACCAAAAAAAAAAAAGGAAAAGAATGACAAATCTGTGCAAAGAGAAATCCATTGCCGATTTAATATAATGTCAAAAGTTCAAGCTAGATCTGTCGAAAAAAATTGTTGATTACCTTTTGCATGTAATCCCAAAGAATAATAAAACAAAAAAATAATTATATATTTTGTGAATTGGAATATATAAAATTCGATTAGACACACGATCATATATAAGAAGCACGAAGAGGAAAGATCAATAGAAAGGTCAAAGGGCTAGGATGCTTATTGTGAGTTTCATCACCAATACAGCAATCGTGTATTGATAAGTCAAAAACAAACATATATCACAACCATGTAAGGGCGTGTTTGTTTCCGCGTGGGCTGTGCGTTTCAGTCCAAAACACGGAAAAATCCCACCAAACGGACTGCAACCAACGTGTGTTTGCTGGTTGAAAATGAACGCGAGCGAGCGATTCCCAAAATGCGACCTCGAAGGCGCGTTCGCTCAAACGCGGTTGCGTGTTCGTGCGACGCGGAAACAAAACAGGCCCTAAATTGACAATGGCCATACATATAGCCATTGGGGCAAACAAAGTGGATCTAAAATATGGCAAAAATACATTTAATGAATGAAGAAGATGCATGATAGAGTGAATTCATACCTGAAGATTAGATCTAAATCGATGTATCTTTAGATTGGATCTAGATCGGATGCGTTCCTCGTCGACGACATCAGGAAGATGTCTCTCCAACTCCTAGTAGGATGATCAATCGCCACGCCCAAGACCCTTCAATACCCCCTCTCCCTCTCGTATTTATAGATAAAATTTTAGAGACAATTTTCTGCTTAAGTCCAACAATGAAACCAAATTATATTTCGATTCCCATATATATAAAAATAAATAGATAAAATTATATCCAAGTATAGTAAATACACAAATTATTTCTTGCACAATAAGGCATACATAGCGTTGTACTCCTTTGATTCCAAATATAGGTCATATAAGCATGATAGAACACAATGACTATTGGTTCCCATGACAAAAATATTACTTCAAGATAGAAAATATATTTGTAATAAATCTACTAATATCGATTATATATATATATATATCACATTTATTTAGATGGTCAAAATTTTGAACAACGAACGAAACATATCCTAAAACCCAAGTTAGATTCAGATGTTTGCTCTGGACTCTATCTAGTACTAGTATCTACAATCGACATATATACAGTAGAGTCCTTGTCTGTCTAGGAAAGCCTCTTCGTCTCTAATCTAATCTGGGGAACATATATTTCAGAAGAGTTTGCTAAGGGTGCGTTTAGATGACGAATTTTTTTGATTTTGGCTATTGTAACACTTTTGTTTGTATTTGATAATTATTGTCTAATTATGGACTAATTAGGTTCAAAAGTTTCGTCTCACGATTTCTCACATAATTGTGCAATTAGTTTTATTTTTCGTCTACATTTAGTACTCCATGTATGTGTCATAAAATTCGACGTGACACCTTGGTTTAAAAATTTTTGGAAACTACACAGGGCCTAAGTTTTCTTTTGTTTCCGTTCCCGAAGTTTGTGCAGAGCCGAAGAATCTCATGCACCTTGCGAGCTTCCTTCCGATCAGATTGCTCACCCGGACGCGTTCTCCTCCGGTCACGGCACTGTTCCAAACAGGCCAGTAGAGAGCCGCCGTGGTTCTGCTTCTACAACTCTGAAGGCCCCGCCGGATCATGCGCCGACAGGCGGCTTTGGGAATTGGGACGGTGTGCTCGGCACCGTCCTACTACCTCCCACCCGGAAGCACGAGGCCCATCTCTACCTACCAGCATCGGTCTTCTTCGCACATGCCCACCGTCGTCTTCTCCGCCGGATCCGCGCCCATCCCCACCCTTCCGTGGCTGGGGAGGAGCTGGAGTCAGTGGATCTGGCAAGCGGGTGGGTCATGGCCTCCCTGGTGGCGCCCGACATGGAGCAAGCCAATGGCGCAGGCCATAGCCTCCTTGGCAGTGGGTAGCGAGCGCGGGCTCGGCACCACGGGCGCACTGGCGACTTCGTGGCCTCACTTCTCTTCTCCTCCACCGGCGTGGAGTCCGCATCCGCCGTCCCCTTCTCCTCCACGATATGCCTCAGCTGACCGCCGTCGCCGGATCTTCCGCCGGCCCCTCCGCTCCTCCCCCTCCCTCGCAGATCCACCGCCAGCCATCCAGGTCGACTCCTCCGCCATAACTTTCGCCGGCGAGGGAGGGCGCGGATTTCGGCGACGCGAGCGCAGGGCTCGGTAACGCGATCGCCGGTGTCGGCACGGTGGGCGCGGCCGCGCGGTTGTTGTGGGTCTCGGCACGGCAAGGCAAGTGACAATGGGGGAACGGGAGGAGAGAAAAGGACACAGCACATAGGGCCATAGGGGCATGCAGGTCTTTTAACTTTCATGCTGGTTTGTGTGCCGATTCCTACAACGACTTGAGTATCTGACTTAAAATAACATAATTGATGTGCTTATCATGTGTTTCTTTAGGTGAATAAGTACATGAAGGTAGATTCATGTGTTTGCAAGTAATTTTAACTTGTGTGGCATTAATCTTTTTGTTGCATACATTTGTTGTGCTTTCTCATTATCTTTATTCTCCGTATGTTTCAATCTAGAGGAATTCGAGGATGAAATTTTGAAGGGTGTAGAATGTAACATCCTAAAAAGTTGACTTTTACCTTTTTATTAGGTTCATGTACCAATGATGTGGTTTCATATTGTATTGCTTGATCGATCGTGTGAGTTTGTGGAGGGTCCACATGTATGTAGATTAATACTTAAGTGACAGACAAAATTAGAGATAATTTTGGAATAAAAAAGCGAGTTAAAAGAAAGGCTTCGCTCTTTAATAGTTGGTATAGATATCAAAATTGTAGTCTTTCATAATCTTTCCAACGCCCTATAGTACACGTGACAAGTAAAACTAAACTTCACTTATATGCTTTCGAAGTGGGGCATTGGTTTTTTGGCTGTCAGATTCTACACTCGAGGTAACTACCTTGATTAGGCCATCTCAGTGATTTTCACCAAAAGGGTCTATAGAACAAAACTTGTGTACAATATAATTTTGCATGCTATGGTGAAGTTTCATAAGTTTTGGAGAATTGTTTTAGTAAATATCAACATTTTTACCAATGATTGTGAGAATTCAGGACAAATTGTATTGTCTAAATTCAACAAAATATTATACATGCTTTGTCGGTGTTTCGAGTTACCAACTAGTAAATTTTCAGTATTGCGCGTCTGGCTCGAATGGTGTGCTTAGAGAACACGAGGTATATACTGGTTCGGGCAGAAAGTCCCTACGTCCAGTTCGTTGCTGCTGCTCGTGTTACTAGCACTGAAAGTTTATAGTAGGGTTACAAACGAGCGAGAGAGACAGATCCCAAGCCTCTGATGTGTGTGTGTTTTGATGTCTACAACCGTGTAGAGTGGTGAACCCTCTCCTTCCTAGGACATCCTACTTTCCCTTTTATAGACGAAGGGGAAGAGAAGGTTACAGAGGAAGAAGACGCAAGGAGAGGAAGACTTTCAGGACCGCCGGGCCTTTCTTTTTCTTTGTGCGGGTCCCACCGACACTGCAGATGGTGACAGGGACGGCTCCATGCCGGGCGCCTGTCCGTCGCTGATGCCACGCCCTGGCGTTGTTGTCGGTAGTCGTGGCGTCCCATTACGCTTCGGCCGAGCGATCGCGGCGAACAACCAGTCTTTCGGGTCGGTGATCGTCTGAGGAGTAGGCAAGATAGTGACCGCGTCCATCATTTCATTGGTGATGTGAGTTCCCTAGAATGACATGTCGCGGGCACGGGGCGTGTTGAGATGTGCCCACTCCCTACACGATGCCAGAAGTTTGACCTTGGATTGTACTTTATGGCCCGTAGTGGTTGGCGGCGGTTTGGGCTTCCGCCAGGAGCCACGCCTGAGGGGTCGAGCGAGACGGAGCCCCCGACCTAGAGGCAGGGCGAGGCGGAGCCCCCGACCTAGAGGTCGGGCGAGGTAGAGCCCGCCCCCAGTGTTCGGGCAATTCGGAGCCCGCGGCCTCGGGGTCGGGTGAGACAGAGCCCGCCCCCAAGGGTCGGGCGAGGCAGAGCCTGCGCACCTAGGTGTCAATTGGAGCTATAGTCATGCTCTTGACTGCTCGGATGAATCGACGTTGATGACCATTAGCTCCTCCTCTTTGGGTACCCTAGTATTGGTCCCCAACAGTAACCCTCGAGCCTGCGAAGGAGTAGAATAGCCCTTCGGAGGCTTTTTCGAACGGGAGGACTCTGAGGGCCTCAGCCTTCTTTTGTCGCCCAAGGCGTGTCCTGGGGACGACGATTCCCTTTCATCGTAATCGGACCCCTCGGGGGTATAGCCGTGAGATTTGGTGGGTCGGAAAAGGTCTTTTCTGATTCCGACCCCTAAGGGGGTCTATCGTTCTGCGACCGCGCGTTCGGTCTCCTTGCGAGTCCAACTTTCCTCGAGACCCCACCCGTGGCAGGGGCCCGGTCAAGGGTCGACTCGTCTTTGTGATCGTCTTCCCTCATGCATTTTTTCCGATAAAATGGAGGGGCTGAGCCATGCCATGATTTTCCTCTATGGACGAATCATGGTGCTCGATGGGCTGTTAACGGGCTAGTCCAAGTGGGGCCTCGGCATCCCATTTGTGGGGGTCCGGCTTGGGTTAGCTGGTGACCGACTCTAGATTCTCAGCGGTCAATCCATATAGTTCTTGGGTCTGTTCGACCAGTCCCGAGGGCTCTCTGCCTTTCTTCGAGGAAAAACCATGGATCGTATCCGGACGAGACTCGAACGTGGGCTGGGGTGCCCGCGACGCTCGTGCGCTCAGGTACTGTCCGCCAGCGGGTCCATTCCTTTCCACCCCTCACTCTAAAGGTGCCCGGAGTGGTTGTCAAACCCGTCAGTGGGCCAACCTTCGAACTCCTAGGCCTAGACGGGCCGTAGGAGCGTCTTCAGCTCCGTATCCCTCTTACTTGTGATGGGTCATGGCCCATTCGGGGAGGCGAAACGTCCGATGTGTTTTCCAAGGGGACGGCCATAGGTTGCGAGCGCACACCCCGCGACGAGACATGGTGACAGGTCATGGCAGGAGTAGAGATCTAGGTGGGCAGTTAGTTTCCTCGCACCCATCACCCCTATAAATCCAAATGGTTAGCCCTCCATGTTTCATATGCGCTTACATCCTTACCTCCACAGCCATGCCGCCGCCAATGCTTAGGTTTCCTGCCTTCGCATCTTCACCACTGTTGAGCTCGCATCCATCCGCCCCCACCTCCAATGGATTAGTGGTGCCATTCCGACATCACCTTCCAGCGCATGGAGGACCTCGTCCATCGCGGTCTTCTCCGCGCACGAACCTCGGCCATGGAGTGGTTGCTGCCCGGCGATGAGGATTTGTCGTCGCCGCCCGACGGCAACGTGATGTCGTTTGCCCACTTCCACGAGCGTGGGCTCATGACCCCCGCCCATAGATTCCTTCGGGGGCTGCTGCACTTCTACAAGATTGAGCTGTAGCATCTCAATCCCAACGGAATCCAGCACATGGCGGCGTTCATCGCGTTGTGCGAAGGATTCCTGGGGATCAGTAGGTATGAAAGCGAGAACGGGAAATTCTCGTACCGATCGACACCGAACACCAAAATTCCCGACCGGATATCATTTTCTCGAGAAAAAACAGATTCGGGAAGAAATCCAGGAAAATTCGGCGAATCCGGGATCGAAATCGGTTAGAGTGATTTCTCGACCGAATTAGCGGATCCCGTATTTGGTCGGGAAAACTCCTCGGGAAATTCCCGTTTTTAAGGCCGCAGACGACTCGCAGGAGTCGCAGCGAGGAAATAAACATCGGCGGCGGTGCCTCATGCCTCGCTACTCACGCCAGCGTCGCTTCTAGTTCCCCGCGAGCGATCCCAATCAGCGATTCAGTCATTCAGAAGCGGAGCGGACTGTGGATAGGCGGACATCAGAGGCAGAGCTGCAGTCTATGTTGCGCCATCGTGCCCACGTCCGTACGTGCTGGTCGCCAATGATGTGAGCACCAAGCAACCCACCCGGCGACCACCGATTACCGATTCTCCACGATGTCAGTGAGCAAGCAAATCTGCGGTAGCGCAAGTGCAAGCAATGCAAGGTGCAAGCAGCCGCAAAGTAAGTATAAACTATATGATATGATTTCTAATTTTTTTAATTGCTAATTGCCTAATTTGCAATGATCCTCTGTCATCCGTGCAAATTTTTATTTCTATGCTCACTGTTTGCTATTGTTTGCATATGGATTATACATGGTTGCTATTGTTGCATCGAGCTCGCTGTTTCAAGTGGTTACATATATCAATGTTCCCATTTTGTGTTACCTCTTCCCGATCATAATCGACATGTTCCCATTCGAAATATTCCATTCCCGATATTCCATAATACCGGATTCGTTTTCCCATCCGGCCTTCCCGTTCCCGTTCTGTTCCCAACCAAAAAATACAGGAGTGGGAATGGTTAAGAAATTTTCCCGACCGTTCCCGATCATTTTCATCCCTAGGGATCAGCCTCCACTTTGACTTGTGGAGGTATTTCTTCGCCGTCAACCTCTAGAAGAAGAGGGAGAAGGGCGGCAGGCAGGAACTGCACATGCCGATGGGGTGCACCGGCATCCAACTTCAGAACAATCGGGTCGGTGAGTATCCGTGCATGCGGCTCTCGACGTCCAACAAGGGGTGGCACTCGTAGTAGTTCTACCTCAAGAATGACGCCGCCGGCCCTCTGCCAGAATTCACCGGGTGCCTGATCGAAGAGGCCCCGGTGTAGTGGAGGAAGTGGGGCATCCCGGAGAAGGATAAGAAGAAGATCCAAGACCACATCGTCGCCATCCACATCCTGAAGGAGAACGACCTAAAAGGGTTGGGCGTCATCGGGGCTTACCACGCGAGAAGGGTGGCGCCATTGATGACGCGCGCGCTCCTGCTATATGCAATGGCGCCTGAGGCATCGTTCGACAGAACGGCGCTCACCGAGGGAACGCTCCCCAACTCTAAGATCGTGCAACGCATCAAGGAGGTGATGGAGCCTTTGCGGGACAACACGGGTGCCGCCCTCAACTTTGTCTACCCAGTGCCGGGGCATCCTCCGATGCGGCCAGAGCCAGGTACGTTGTCCTCGTAAGTTTCCCTTTCTCTTGCCTCCTCTTCAATTGATTTCCCGACCCCATGAGACTAACTTTGAGAGGGAAGGGACCAGCCGAGGCACCTCATCCTCACGGATCACCCGGCGCCGCTGCTGAGAGATTCAGCCGTGAGGTTGGTGAATCGCTCCGACGGTGAGCGGCTGAGGAAGGCGAAGGAGGACAAGAAGAGAAAGAAGCAGCGGAAGTTGCGGGCGCGGGAACGAGGGGAGGACACTAACGATGATG